GAATGCAACATACAGCATCGGTATTAACAAACGGAAAAGTGCTTGTTACTGGTGGTTTAGATGATATGCGACGTTATGTCAAAATCTCTGAGTTGTACGATCCATTAACAGAAACATGGACAATTACTGGGAACATGAGTTTTCCACGTGCTCAGCACACAGCTTCCATATTAAGAAATGGAAAAATATTAGTTACTGGTGGGATGACTGAGAGTTTAATACGATACAGTACTGAGCTGTATGATCCAGCGACAGGAATCTGGATGGTCGCTAATAATATGAACCACGTACGGGTTCTTCATACGGCAACCGAATTAGAAAATGGAAATGTGTTAGTAGCTGGTGGAGACGGAGGTGATAATAGTGCTGTTAATAGTGCTGAGCTGTATATTTCACCGAAAACAATTTCAGCAACTATCAATAAAAAGAACAATCCACCAAATAGTCACAAAGCTCCAATGACGAAGAGAACATTAAATAAGGATGGGCACTAAATTACTATTGGGAACAATAAATATCTATAAAATATTTAAACCGACAAAGTGATGAACAGCGTTCAACTTTTCACATGATTGGTGCTTAACTTTCTATCTTATCCTATGTGTACAATTATTTCTTTGAATAACCATTAATCATTCCTTTGTGATTGTTTTTTTACCCGATCTGTCCATCTATTGAATTCCCGAAAACGTTTTTGCGTTTCAATGAAGAATTTCTTTTTGTTTTTCAACTTTAAGACTACAACTAGTCTTCAGCAATGTATGCTTCGCTACTATCTAAGACTTGTCGCCAACGCTTTGACAGAAAAATAATCCCACCTTTCACAAGCAGACAAGAATTCGGGAAGGCACTTGTTGACCAGTTTCATATACTTCTAGTGGATTTTATTGTAAAAATATATTCAAAGATGATATTTAAATGAGTCAAAATGTAGATCGGGAGGTTCTATGAGTATTACTGTAGACACATTTGAATATCTATCAAGACTATAAGAAAGATATTGGGTGTTAGTGACCATAAGTCGTTGATCTATTGGTTTTTAGTAAGAACAGCGTACGTGCATAGTTAAAAAGTTGGGTATGTTTGATGTTACCATAAATTAGTAATATCTGAAAGCTATTGATAACTCTATCTTTTTAGTATGAGTTAATCCCATTTTTTATGAACCATCAGCATTTACTAGAATTCAAATATTGCCGCATTCTTCGTCAAATACTTCCTACTGTTATGTCATTGTTGGCGTTCTTCGTAGATATTTTCATTGTAAAACTTGCTTCTGTTTCTTTATTATTATTTCTACATTGTATTTTGCGTATCCTTTCGAGACAAAGATAAGAAACAAAGAAAAAACTCAGCATAAGAATATAAACAGTTACATCTAAAGTCAAACAAATTATCAACGTTCTTGAGTTTTTTATTCACTCTCGAGTATCACAATGCAATACAATATGTTGTCTAAAATCATATTGATGGCTTTAAGTCTGTTTTCCATCAATATAAGTTTAGGAGTCGTTCAAGAAGTTCAACCACAGAATTGTGTCTGTTATGATCCTGGCCGTCTCGATACTAATAATTCCACTGTTGCTTGTAACACCACTCACTGTAGCCGTGGCAATAATCCTAACTGTAATGTTGCTGATCCTGATTATACTATAATACATCTTCGTGCTTTTGGTTATTATGGTGCAATCGTGACTTCCCTTGGTTGTAACTGTCCCGGTTATAACTATAGTAATTCTAGTGATGAGAATGCTATGGATGGTGCTAGTAATGGTGGATATTCCTACACTGATTGCGATGGCTTTGGGTGGTGACGAGCATGACGATGATGTTATTTATTGCTGCAAATATTGCTGTGGTCTTCTCCCAGTTTATACTACTACCAGTGTTCCGACTGCCACCAGCTCGACCCATAATTTTCCTATTTGCATACTATTTTCCTCGGCTTTCATACTTATTAAAATGATTGCAATAGACAGCGCCGACTCCAACTGTATTATTTCATGTTAATCTTAGTAATTAGAAGCTTGTAAAATTCAAATCCATTTTTGATTAAACTATTGATTCTTTAATTAACTTTACATGCCAGAATAGATCAACAATCAACTCAAACAACGTGACAACTTGTACAAACCTACTTCAAATATTCTCTTGATTTTATACTTTCATTGTGTATCTTTTATATTTAATCATCAATAAACCATTTTCATAGCCAGGTATGGGAATCGGCCACCATCTCGAGGGTGTGGGTGGATATGTAGAATTACTACGATACTAATGAAGGTGAGTCAAGCATTTTACGACGCGTTTGAGGGTGAGGGTGGGGTTTATACAGAAACAAATATATTTCCAAATCCAAACTACTTACGACGTGTTTCGTACTTGCTTAAAGAACTCATCAGGTAAGTCTGGAATTATGTTTTTGCATTCGAATCAAATCATAAGAATTTAATTGATAGAAGGTTATAAGAGTCAGGCCAAGGGTGTGGGTATCAGTTTGATTATTCTATTCAATCGACACCAACATCCATGCCCTCAAGATGGAACTTTATTTTCACTGATACTGAACTTTTTTGAAGAATGTATCATTCCCGTATTACTATCTTTCTAAATTACTTCTTTTTCTTACTCTATGTTTTTAGCCAATTAAAGTGAAACAGCATTATTCATTCATTAAATCAACTCATCATTTCTATAGTGTGGACGGGGTCATAGACTGAAAAAATTGACCCCTAAAAATGTTTCACTATTTTTGCTGACGACGACAAACAATAAGACAGTTCAATATATATATATGTATATAAAGTTATTGTTATAATTGCACTGAGACGAATTGACAAATGAATATGGATATGAAACATTCAGTCGTTCAATTAATGGATTTATCTGACGAAATACTTCTGATTATTTTTGAGGAATTGGATAATGTTGAAATGCTCAATTCTTTAATGGGTACTAACACACGACTTGATAGAGTTCTACGACATCCAATTTTTACTAGTCATTTAACGTTAATGAAATCGTCATCAAATGGACTTTCCCATCCATTGGATGATATTATGGTTGATCGATTTTGTTCTCAAATATTGCCTCAAATTCATCATAATATCAAATGGCTCAATCTCGAATCATTATCTATGGAGCGTGTTCTTCTTGTGTCTGATTATCCTAATTTATTTGGATTGGGTCTTTACGAAATTAATTATGATGCCGCTCTACGTCACTTTAGTGGTAAGAATTCGAATTCATTTTTTTTCTTCAAATACTATCATCATAAGTCATTTTATTGATTTAAAAATATGATTCAGCACATCACTGCACATTTTATTTATAAAAAACCAATCCTATATTTTTTTATGGCTTTATTTTATGGTTGAGAGTAAAATTGGTAGAAGAACGAGAGCTATCAAGCGAAAAAAAGTATTATACTATAATCAAAGAGATAAAGCACTTCATTCACGACTTTTAATAAATTACCAGAGGTTAGAAAAGAGCATATTTATGTTTGAGGTATATAATTGAAGTTTCACTAAAGATATCGATTAAAATCCAAAATATGTTTCTTCAGGTCGGCGACATCCCATAAACGATTGATTTAATTTACAAAGTACATGAACGAGCGTGAGTGTCACGGCCTCACTGATCTGAAGAAGTATCCTGGCCGAATAAATTCAGAATTTGATTACTACTGTGTACGATTATGTACAAGTATACTTTTCCTGATTGTTCCTTTGTTACAATCGTAGTATATAGCGCATCATTGAGGTTTATTAAAAAATACGAAAAGAATGAGAGTTATGATCAAATATGCAACCATGTCACTGCATCGGTCTATAGATATAGATGTATTGATTAACGGCGAAGACAGGAGTTGCATGATGAAATTACGTTGATCTTAGGTTTGTTTTCGAATTGTTTTTTGGCCAATAGAAAACTTTATCGAAAATAACGACTCATAAAATTTGATGAAAGATTTCTGATGTCAAGGAATTTGAATCTATAAATGATTTGTTAAAATTCTTGAGTTTAATTCTTTTCGATTAGGGAAGATCTATTTTAAGAGATTAGTTGCAATGTATAAAGCTTGCCTAAATTGTAATAAATAGGCCTTTACTCGAGCAACAAAGTCACACTCGACAGATAAATCATTTACAAATTTGGATTTCTCAACCCCATCAATCTTTAATCAAGTTTTATAAAAAGTATTATTTTCGATAAATAGTCTTCTTGTGACCGGATAAATCGTATTTTTATGAGATGCTTGCCTTTAGTTAATGTGTATATATCTAAACTGTAGACCAGTGTACTAGTATAATGATCTACCACTATCATTGCATCCCTAATTATAATTGATTCATAGTATATTTATGTGTGTTTTCTTAATTGCTTTGTATTTTTTGTTAAGATGAATCTGATTTAGTTCGCATCTTCAAAAATCACATTTCTCGACTTGTTCTGACAATCGATAAATACACACAACAATCTGTCGATAAAAAGATGATAATGACTCTGCTTACTCGTATATTTACTGTGTTTACAAATTTAACTTATTTAAATTTGAATAAGTTTACAGGTATTGATATTGAACGTTTGAATGTTTCTATACCTACCAATTTTTCTTCTTCAACTCTGGTGGAATTGCATATAAATGTGGCTCGTTTCGGCGATTGTCTTTATTTACTCGATGGTCGTTTCAATCAACTTCGTTCATTTTATGTTAGAATTTGTATAATTTCCAGCCATCTAATTTATCCATCGTCAATAACTGATAATAAAGTAGGTTACTTCGGAAAAAAACAAATATTTGTTTTATCGAAATAGTTTTCACTAGATAATATTATTTTATTTTTCTAGAAAGAGTTGTTTAATTTGAAATGTTTTTCGTTGATTTCTAATTGTGTAACAGGTGATTCTGATGAATTAATCTTGCCACTTTTACGTCGAATGTCAAATCTTGAAAGACTAACTTTATATCTTTCGCTCGACCGTTACACATCATTTATCGATGGTAATCATTTGCAACAAGACATTATCAACCAATTACCACGATTAAATAAATTCTTATTTAATATTTATTCATTCATAAACATTACCGATTTATTGTATCAACCAACAAATGAAGATATTCAATCTACATTCAAAAATTTCAAAGACTGTAAAATAAGTTCTGCTGTGGATTATTTTCCAAAAGAAGGAAATAGTTTATGTCATATATACTCACATCCTTATAGACTGAAGCATTACCATCATATAACAAATAATTTTCCAGGTGGATTATTCAACTATGTTGAAGACATATCGTTATTTGATGAACGTCCTTTTGAACATGAATTTTTTATTCGACTTACTAAGGCATTTCCACTTCTAAAGAAATTGCGAATATCAAATGAAGAACCACAAAATTGCAAAAATTGTCAAAACTCTAATAACGATAATCGGTATTCGTCAATCATTGAGTATCCTCATCTTACTGACCTGTCTCTCACCTTTGTACATGAAGATTACGTTGAGCAATTTCTTCTGGATACAAAAGCATGTCTATTGAATAATATTACGCTTCAAATCGGCTATGAATGTCTACAAAGAGTGACACACAATTTTACAAATAACGCAACTCGAGTCAATTGTGCTAAATTGACATGTCTTCTAATTTCTCAATGTTGGAGATATCCAAAAGTTTGTGATACCTATTTTCCTCATGTAAAAAATGTGTTTGGTTAATTATTGACATGAAACAGTTAATAAGATGATTCAAATATCAAAAGTTGATATGTTTAAATAAACAAGAAAAATGTATATGTCATTGGAAGAAAACGATTATTTACTTTCAAATATTTCTGACTCAAATTTCGTACTTTAATTGTAAATTTTTCAATAAAAAGTTTTAATATTCGATAATAAATTTTCCATACAATATTAAAAGATTTATTTGAATCAAGAAATATATCATCAAGACATTTTTGGATCTTCTGTTTCTTTCCATTCATCAGGCTCATTTGTTGTTTCATCTTCTTGTTCATCATGTGAATTTGATAAATGTTCATTGTCAATTGTACATGACATTGTATTACTGTATGCATCTTTATTATTTGATGCTGATGATGTTAAAAAAACCATAATAAAAAAATTCATCATTTCTATCGTCATTATCACCTAAATTACATTCATCAAAACCACATCATGATGATCAAAAAGATAAATTAACTAACTTCATATAAATAACGAATTATAACATAATCAAGCACAGCATTATCAAGAAATTCTAAACATTGATAACAATCTGTTATTGTATTATAAGAATACGATGCATGAGTAAATGCTTGAATAAGATAAGCGCGTTGATGAAAACGATCAAAATCATAAGATTGTATTGTTGATAGGGTGTGGATGTTTCCAATCTAAACCCACACCCTCAAGATGTTGTCATTTCTTGATTTAAATCCTTTGAATAACTTGTAAAATAACTGATTAGAACGTTGTTTCAGATAGTGACGGAGAAATTATGTCGGCTTCATTGGATACTACAGTACCATGCTTGAATTTTGTGCTCTCATGGGTGAGAAAAAGCAAAAGACCGGATACAGATATAAGAAATATGACACTTAAAATGACCATCGTTATTCCTGTGCGACTAATATTTGTTGCACCTAGGATTATGAGAGCGACGCAGGGACTCAATGTAATACAAGCAATGAAGAGAAACTTAAAACACAATTTGAGCAAATGCCACTTGCGTAATGAAAAATCAACAATCTTCATTTCAGTTATACTTCTTTCTGATGGACTTGATTTCTTTCTCTGTAATACATGAAGTAACAAACGTAAAAATATATTAACAAACCATCCGAATGCTTGAAGCAATCCCCCGCATAGACCAATTTGATTGAGTATTTCTACAGTTTCTATATTTTGTTTTATCCATCGATAACAAACGAGACTTCCTAGTGACGCATCGATTCTCGTATCAGATGAATTACAATAAAAATATGTACTGTTAACAGTTGTGTAGCAGTCCATTTCATCGTCAGATGGACATTTACTATTCGGTGAGACATAACGGCCAACTAAAATAAGTTCGGAGAGGAAAAGAACAAACGTGGCTGTTAAGACAGCTGTTGCCATAATAAGTAAGGCTAAAGGAGGTAGAAAACTAAAAGTAGTTGCCGACAAACTAATTTGAACACCATATATATCAATAAATTCTCTGGTGTCAAATGATGTTGCTTCATAATGTTTAATTGAAAACATTGCTTTAATCATACGATAAAATGTTCTGGGACACCAGCGTATGAGAGAGAATAAAACAGCAAAGACTACGATGCCCAAACCAAAAGGTATACCAAATCCAGCAGCAGCATAGCCTTGATGATTCCAGGCCATTCTTAACAGTTATAAATTCACGTTGAAAGTAGTTAAAATTGTAAACTATTAATAAATATCGTTGATAATTACTCTTGTAAAGTTCGAATTTTCATAGAATGATAATAAAAATAATTTGTTTTTCCAGCCATAAATTATTAAGAGTATTTAGATGGAGGAAAATCGAATCTGAGTTATAATCAAGGGGTTGGGTGTGAGTGTAGATATTATTCCCATCTCACACGCATATCCTAATACACGAGAAATATATGTATGGGACTTATTAATCTGAAGCTG